TAATGCTGAAAGGGAAGGGTTCATCAAAAATCCCAGTGGGGCGTCTGAGCGTTTAACACACCTTCTGTAGACTAAAAACCCTGGAAGCAGTTGCGTCTAAGACAATGAAGCGTTTTTCTTTGCTTCCTTAAATAATGCGATGTGATGGTGCCAGGCAACAGCCCTCCACTGGCCACCCCAGCCCGCACCACCAGCAGCAGCAGCAGGTGGAGGGTTAGGATGATCAAAAATCCCAGTGGGGCGTCTGAGCGTTTAACACACCTTCTGTAGACTAAAAACCCTGGAAGCAGTTGCGTCTAAGACAATGAAGCGTTTTTCTTTGCTTCCTTAAATAATGCGATGTGATGGTGCCAGGCAACAGCCCTCCACTGGCCACCCCAGCCCGCACCACCAGCAGCAGCAGCAGGTGGAGGGTTAGGATGCTGTAGACCAGAGGATGACAGCTTTGAATAACCCTTTCGATTTTTCATGAAGATATGCTGCTAGTGGTTCTCTCATCTCAGAAGATAGGGTAAGGAGGTTTTCGGACAAGCTAAAATAAACGGGATTCTTTGCCTGGAGCGGGCACACCGAGACACATCTTGAGTCAGCTAGATCCAGAGTGGATCCCAGGCACTGGAAGGCAGAGTTACCATCACCAAGGCCACCTCTCACGCCAGAGGTGTTTTTTTCAAAGGAGAAGTTGACTCCTGCAGTTTAGCCCTTGGGAGGAGGTAGGGGTTAGGCGGTAGTCGGGAAGATGAGAAAAACCGCCTCGAAGTGGACATGGGCCTCGCCCCGGGAAGTTCCGAGGTTGCGGTTCACTCGCTCCCGCCCAGTCGCCCTTCCTTCTCCCGGCGGCGCCCGACGTCGGAGACCGAGCCGAGCGGAGCCGGAGCCGAAGCCGAGAGAAGCCCAAGCCTCCACTGCGCCTGGCCTCTCTCGGCCGCCGGTACCCGCGCCGGCCGACTCCGCCGGGCAGGCCTAGGCCGCGCCCGCCGGGCCCGGCGCCGCTCAGGGCGGCGGAGGCGGAGCAGGCCCGGCACAAACTTCCTTGCGCGTCTGCACGCGCGTCACGGCCCGGCCGGCCCCCAGCGCCATTCCCCGCAGCGGCGCCCGCCCGGCTCCTCACACACTCCGGCTCCCGCTGGGGACCCGTCCGCCACCCGCGGCTCTCCACGCTCAGCCGCCCCCCACTTTACCTCCAAGTCGCGGCCTTTGTTCTTGAAATTCTTGAGCCGTTGGTTGTCCAATTTCTCGTTGTCCGCCATGGCCGGGCCGGTGACTCGTCCCCCCGCCCGGGCCCCGCGGGATCCGCCCCAACCACCGCGCCGCACCGACGCTCCCAGGAACCCGGCCGCCGCCTGCGCCGCTCCGCTCGCCTGCCGGCCGCTCCCTTCCTCTTCTCTCGGGCCTCCGCTGCGGTCTCGGCCTCCTCTCCCCGCCCGCCCCCACTTCACCCCAAGCCCGAGCACCACAGCAGCTCCGGAGAAGACAACTGCGAGCCCCACTGCAACGGCGGCGGAATGTGCTGCCGGCTGAGAGGGGGAGGCGGCCTCGATCTGAGGGCCGGCGCCGCGGCCACGCCCATCGCCGCCAGCCCGGCTTACCGATTGGTCGGCCGGGCTCCGGCGCGCTTGACCAATCAGAAGAGGCGATGGAGAGCGGGGGCGGAAGAGCGCAGGGAAAGAGGAAGAGAGTGGCGCGGGGAGGAAACAGCGGGCGGCTGAGCTGCTTGGGAGGGGAGGGGCCCTGTGCGGCGGGAGAAACTCGGAGGAAGCGAAAGAGAAGCCGATTCGAGGGGAGGCGGGACAGGCAGGGAGCCTCCCGACACGCGGCGGGGAGGAGTGCGCCTGTTTTTGGAGGCATTGTGGTCGGGATAGCCCTGGATGTTGGGGGTCCAGAGTCGAAGCGGAGTTAAATCCTTCTTTTCTTCCCCCGTATTACATGAACCCATCATTGACCTTGCCAGGCAGAGACTAGGTTCCACTTTGGGTTCAGAGTCCCTTCCTTTTTCCCCCTCGGCATTGCATGCCATCCTAAGGCCAGGCCTTTGGGGCTAGGACTGATTGGGGAGGTGGGCCCTCCGGAAACACCCGTTTCACGTTGGTGAAAGAGGAAAAAGGGCTGGTTGACGAACGGGTGTCACTCTCAAGTGCTGGCAACAGGTAGGAACTTGGGGAGTTGATGATCCTCTCGTGAAACCCCTTTCTGCGTATTTCGTCTTGGAAAGTTGAAGAAGCTACTTGGCCGCGAAATAGCAATTTATAGAGGACGAGGACTGTGATCCGTGACATAGTAAATGCTACACTGTAACTTGACAAATTCCAAAAATTAACCATCTTCACTAGGAACATTGTAACTACAGGCCAGATACAAAAGAGCTGCCCAAAATTTTCAGAAGAGATCGTGGCTGGCAGAGTTTGTTATTCCAGCTCCTGTGAGTGAGGTGGGGAACCGCTGAGGCAGGAGGATCTCATGTTCAAGGCCTGCCTGAGCCGCAGAGTAAGTTCAGAGCCAATCTGGGCAACTCAGACCCTGCCCCCCATCCCAAGATAAAAAATACAGAGATTCAGCTCTGTAGCAAAGCCTAGTGTATGGGAGGCCCTTGGTTCAGAAAAGGGTGGGCAAATGTTTTCAAGAAAGTATATTTAATTACCGACTGATAGTTCCTCAGATGTGCATAGTTTTGTGAAGCAGTAGCGATTCTGGATCAGAAGAAACGGAGAAGCTGGATGTGTTTGGATATGGCAAAGCAGGAGGAAGAGTCCCTATTGCAAACTCCTTTGGAAACTTTTGACTTTTGGTTCTTTCTGGTATACTTTGTTCTCATAGAACTACGTGCAGAAATGAATGTTTAAGATGCAAATATTTCATAAACACAAAGTCAAAGGAGGGGATTTTAAAAAGCACAATGCAAAAACAATGGGTATAGACAGTGTAAAGGACCTAGTTTTCTCAGGAAGGAGGAATAAAGAGAAGTGGAATACAATGGGAATCCTTGAAGATTAGTTATAATGGGAGGAAAGGTCAAAACAAACAAAATCCCTTAGACACCGAATAATGCTTTTCAAGTCAATCTTTGATACTTTGTATACTTTCTGGCTGGGCTGTGGCAAACAAGCTATTTGGAAGTAATTCACACTAAAGATTAGCTTGATTGTAAATTGAGCTCAGATCTTAAAATACAAATGATGAAGTTCGTTTCATTATACTTTGTGTGTGGTGCATGATTATGGCAGGCACACCCTTGTGCTCCTTGAGAGGCCAGAGCAGAATGTCTGATGTCTTCCTCTATTGCTCTCTGGCTTACTGTCTGGAGACACTATCTCTGAACAAGAAGCTTGCATTTTTTTTCCCCCAAAACTCGTTTAATTGGAATAACATTGTGTTTGCAGGCTGGAAAATTAGTATATTTTTAATGAGATTAAGCTGGTCGTGGTGGCTTATGCTATAATCCCAACATTTAGAAGGCTCAGGCAGTAGGTTCTAGAATTCTGAGGCCAGTCTAGGCTACGTTGGGAGACCCTGTGTCCAAAAGCAAAAGAGATCTGGGTGTGGTGAATCATGCTAGCACTCTCAGAATTTATGAGTCTGAGTAATTTCTAGGCCAGCCTGGGCTATACAGAGTCTGCCTTAAAAAAGGAACAGAAAGGAAGGATGGTTTAGGATAAGGAAATTCAGTTGTAAAGCTAGAGACAGCAAGTTGCACCATCTTAGATTCAATCATAAGATTACTTGAACAAAATGTTACATAATATTTAGTAAAGAAGAAATTCAGGGACTGGAGAGATTGCTCAGAGGTAAAAAGTACTGACTGCTCTTGCAGAAGACCTGGGTTCAGTTCCCAGCAGTCACATGGCAGCCAACAACTATTCCTAACTCTAGTTCCAGGGAATTCTGATGTCTTCTTCTGGCCTCTGCCAGCATTGCACGCACATGGTACTTAAACACATGCATAACATAAGAATTTGAAAAATCAAATCAGGGAAGAAATTTTATATGTTGCTAAATCTTACTAAAATATAATTTGTATTTGTTACAGTTGGGCTGGTTCTTTCTGGGGAGAAAAACAGTGACTATTAGGTAATTACTATAATTTGTATATAGTTTGTCTCCCAAATGTTCATGCATTGAAGCTTGGTAATCAGGTGATAATGTCGGGAAGTTATGAGTTCTTTTTTATTTTATTTTATTTTTTATTATTTTTTTTATGTGTATGAGTCTATTGCCTGCATGTATGTGAGTGTACTGTATCCTGCAATGCCATGGAGGTCAGAAGAGGGCTTTGGATTCCCCGGAACTGGAGTTAAGGATGGTTGGTAGCCACCATGTGAGTGCTGGGGATCGAACCCGGGTCCTCTACAAGAGCAGTCAGTGCTCCTTAACCACTGAGCAATCTCTCCAGCCCCGGAGAAGTTATGAGTTCTTTAAGAGGTGGAGCCAAGGGCTGGAGAGATGGCTCAGAGGTTAAGAGCATTTGTTGCTCTTGCAGAGGACTGGAGTTTGATACCCAGGACCCACATCAGGTGGCTTACAGTCACCTGTAACTCCTGCTCCAGGGGCTCTCTTAGGGGGATTCCCCTAGGAAAGGATTAAGATAGTTGTTATGGGACCCTTTGTTCTCTAGAGAGTTATAAAAAGAACAAGCCTGGCTGATCTATTCCATTTGGCTATCTTACCATGTGATCTTTCTATTACACTTCTGTGATACCATCTGCCCCAAACGGGCGTGGGGGGTGGGGGTGGCAGCGGCTCACCAGACCCAGTCCTGTGGTATTTGAACTTTCAGCTTCCAAAAGTGAAACCTCTTTTCTTGAGAAAGTAGCCAGGAATTTTTTTTTTTTTTTAAACCTCAGAGCCTTAGTAGTGTGTGTGTAAAACGCCCTATGTAGACCAGGCTGGCCTGGGTCTGATCTGCCAGCCTCTACCTTTCGAGTGCTGGGATTAAAGGCATGCATCACCATGCCTGGTTTAGCTTATTTTTTAAACTTAGTTTTGACTAATCAAAGAAAAACTTTGGATTTAGGCTTAGCTTCCATCCTAATAGCTCTCACAACAGACAAAGTCTCTACCTCCATTTATAAAAATTTTGTTGGCACTGGAGAGATGGCTCAGTGGTTAAGAGCACTGGCTGCTCTAGCAGAGGATCTGGGTTTGATTCCCAGGACCCACATGGCAGCTAACAACCATCCCTAACTTCACCCTCTTCTGACCTCCATTGGCATTGCGTGACATGGATGCACTTACATACATGCAGGCAATACACATATACACATTAAATAAAAATAAATAAAAATATTAAAAATAAATAAAATATTTTAAAAAACAATTAAAAAAAAAACAACTTTTAGTTTTGTTTGCCTCACTATATACCCCTGGCTGGCCTGCAACTCACTATGTAGATGAGGCTGGGACTTACAGATCCACTTACCTCTGCTTCCGAAGTGCTGAGATTAAAGGTGTTAAAGATGTGCCACCCTACCTGGCTAAAATAAAAAAAAAATTTTTTTTGAGACGTGGTCTCGCTGTAGCCCCAGCTGGCCTGGAACTTTCTATGTAGACCAGGCTGGCCCAATCTCACAGAGTCACCTGCTTCTGCCTCTGCCTCCTGAGTGCTGAGATCAAAGGTGTATACCACCACACCCAGCTAAAACCTTTTTATTTAAAATAATTACAGCTTCACAAGAATTGAAAAACAAAAAACAAAACAGACAAACAAAAACCTGAAAAGTTCAAGGTAGTCTGCCTACCTTTTATTCTTCCTCTCCCAATGGTAGCATATCATGTTACTATCAAAGCAACTAATATTGACATAATCCACCAGATGTGGTGACACACACTTTTAATCCCAGCACTTGGGAGGCAGAGGCAGACAGATCTCTAAGTCACACAGTAAATGTTAGAGCTGGCATATGAACTGACCCTGGTACCAGAACCAGTCTAATTGCCATGGAGGAACATAAACTTCAGTATTCACAGTAGCTTTTCAAGGTAGTTATTATTTCCATTTCCTGTATGAGAAGTCTGTAATTCAGTGAGGTTAAGTAACTGCTCAGGATCCTATCCAACTAGAAGGTGCTGGAGCCTTAGTTGATTCCAGGCCTGCCTAGCTCTAAAACCCCCACTGCTCATAGCTGACCTTTCTGCCTCCCTGCTGTCTCACACAGATCTCAGCTGGATCTCTCAAGAAGTCTAGTTCTGAATTGTCTAGACAGTGGCTATCAAAGCTCACAGCACATCGGAATCACCAGATTGATGGGGCTCTGTCCCCAGGGTTCTTATTTTAGTAGGTCGTAGCTCCTCATGATTGGTTAGTTGGTACTTATGGTTTTCTACTTCCTAGAATAGCCTTTGAGAACTACTGGATTGTTTGAACAACTCATTTTAAGGTAGTTTCAGCCTCAAGACAAGGACAGAGTTAAAATAAGGGCGGTGAGGTATCGCAATAACAGATCCTGTGTCACATAACAATAATGCATGTGTGAACCATGATTATGCATCTCCAACTCAAAAATGTAACTAAATAATTAGTGCCCCAAAGACTGAAAATTCTAAGCTAGTAATAGCCAGT